ATACTAGCAGAAAAGCGCTTACGTCTAAATTTTAATTCTGCAGGAGCGTTAAATGGAAGTCTGCCTTTAACTTTTGTTCAGTCTGCAGTTTTTCAATCCTCTTGAAGCGAGGCAGAAAAGAGATCGGCGAACGATAAACTTGGGAGTGAAAGAGGGTACTTTGTTTTTTATAGAGACGTCGCTGTATCAAAGCTTCTGCTCGAATTAGACCAGCGATGATAATAAAAGCGCATCAGAGAAATAAATACTATATTTACGTTTACCGAGGTGGATATACAGTGAGTCCCAGATTCGCCTCTCTATACAGGGATCTCGGATCCTGTTGTACCTACAGCAAAGGCTTTAGAGGAAATCGGTCAATCGGTTGTGGAAATATCGGCGAAAAACCGAAAATATCGAATTTTGTTTTTTGCCAATAAATCCGAAACGGTTAAAATATGACATTATCGGACATTTAGGATAGCTTATATGATATGTCTCAATCGTATATTTTGTTTTCTCGCAACCTGTCTCAACTTTTATTGTTCTTATGGCCGCAATATTGTATTTTTCGATTTTTGAAAAGAGGGTAAAATTTCCAGCCCAGTGACGTCTCACAAGTGCATAAAAGATTGGAGTATCATCGAAATATTATGACAAGTAGTGTTATGTAGCAATTTTTTTCTAAGGAGGCCATTACTTATTTGTCTATAAACTTCTGAGCAGTATTTTTTTCGGTTTAGGAATCACTAAGTGATAAAGAAAGGTAGAAACCTACGTATATTTATCAGAATTCAAGAATTTTTTACATAATGATTTATCTTGCCATGAGCAACAAGTGATAAAATGCAGGTTTTTCTGTTAAGTGGTGGCTGCGGGTATTATTTGCTGATAAAGAAGCAATCATTTTTTGTACATTTACGGTGTATATATATATATATATTTTGAGACGTGGTCATTGTCGTCTAGACCAGTTAGGTGAAAAATTAAAGCTTCCGCCTTTTGTTGGGTACTTCGACAAAATTTAAGCAAAGAGGACTCTTTATACTTTTTGTAATTCTCTCTAGCTTTCAATGGACTTTGCCATCATCATCAGGAGCTGCAATTACAATGATAACAGTAGCAACAAACGTGTAAAATGAATTTAAATTGACTCAACTTACAGTAGTATGTGAGGATGTTGCTAATTGTTGTTTACGTATAGGATGAGGGAAACGTCCAGTAACATGGTGAGAGCTGGATAGACGGTACAATGGTCAAAATTATATAAAATATGACAAGACAAGTTAAAAACAGATTATTTAAAAAACATTAGAGCATTACATCGTGAAGCCACTTGATGATTGCACAAAATGGTGGTCATGGAATAATGAGTGAGATGACCCTTTGACAGAAGGCCGAAGGTTGTCAATGTCTGTGTTGAAAGATGGAACGAATTGTGGGCGTGTGCCAAACGTTGCCAAATCACTTCAGATGATGTGATTTTCAGAATGTTATATAAGAAATTGTTAAACCGACCAGAGGCAGTTGAATAAACCATATTTTAATTAATGGGAATTTAAATTAACAATTATTAATAAATCGTGAGAAGAGAATTATTAGATTTTGTGTGGAATGAAATTTACTGGTGGAATCGGCCAAAACACAGATTCTATTTATGGTTGTGAAGAGTCAAAATTTGGGGAGATATGTAAGTTCTCCAATTTTTCGCAGTTTAGCAAATATGAGTAAATGACACTCAGTTGTTTAACATCTGTCTTTTTGTTGATACAGTTGTTATTCATGAAAATGTGGGACATTTCCAGGAATAAACGTTTGGAAAGGTGTTTTTCTTTATCAAGAACTTTGATACTTGTGTAATTCATAGAATGCCCTGTTGTGTTAACATGAGATGCTAGAGTGCATCTTTCAGGATGAAGCCTAGCATCGCTTTTGTGTGATGTAATCCTTCCTTTAAGAGATATGGAGGTCTGACCTATGTATATTTGGTTGCAGTTGTTGCAATTGATGGAGTAGACTGTGTTGGTTAAGCCAAGCAGCGGGACTTTGTCTTTCATTTTTGAAAAAATGCAGTTTATATTGAGGACGGATTGGCAAGCAATTCGAAAGTTCAAAGGACTGTACAATCTGATCAGCTTAGGGGTCAGTTCCTTGATATAGGGCAGGACAGCAAAACCAGGTCTGGAATCCGGGTTGGTGCTTGTACTGTTTGGTTTGATGCTATTATTGGGAATTACATCAGTTCCGTTATTAGGGGTTGTGCGACTATTACCTGCATCACCAGAGTTCGGCAAAATATTGGAAGGTGAACTAAATAAGATCTTGTTAATCAGACACTTCGGATAACCATTATTGATGAACAGTTTTGATAGTTTACGTAAATTTGAGGTGTGGAAAGTATTATCTGAGATGCTGATTATCCTTGTTTTCATCTTCTTTACCAAATTGATTTTAATCCCTAGCTTATGGTATGACCTAAAATTGAGAAACCGACCTGAGGCCATAGGTTTCTGATACCAGTCTACCAATAAACTGTTGTTTGTTAAGTATATATATACTTAATACCTTTAAGCTAACTTTTATTTTTATAAATTGCTCTGTTATTGGCGATAAGCTGTTGGGCAATAAAGGCTTATGATTATTATTATTATAGACCTGGTACGACGCGAACGTGTAGTGCTGTGGTAAATATGTCTTTGACGTTTGTCTTCGAGTGTGATGATTCTCATACGCAGGAATGGATAAGATGTGTTCTTTGGCTTATTGTTTGTGTTCGTCAGATATCTTGTTTCTGTTAGCGTGAGACCCTCTACTATCCAGTGGCATAATTCCTGAAATATTATCTCTCTTTTTTTGATTATGGTTTCAATGAAATTATTACTGATGTCAAATGTCCTGTACATTGTAAGTTATTGTATATTCTAAGGTAGCATATTGCAGTATCAATACGTCTTTTATTGCTACGTATTTTACGAATTCTATTAACTTTTTCGGGGTCAAGTCGGATTTATTGTCGGTGAAGAGCACGCCACGTAACTATTATAATTCTCTAAAAAAGGCGATAATATAACTTGACTTACTTTACAATTTTAACGACATAATTCTTTAGTGCATTAGCTTCGCACCTGGATCTAATATGAATTATCCCGCTTTGCACTCAGAAAGATGGATGTCTATACGTTCGGTATATGACTTGTTCCCGTTTTACCAAAATTATGACTTATCCCCGTTTTCATCCGCTACAGCGATTTAGAAGAACGAAATCCTGATGGGTAAGTTACCTCTTTTTTATAAATTATTTTCAGAATCCTCTTTGTACTAATTTTACATGATAAACATACGTTAGTATAATAATTACAGTTAGTGAAAATCTCTTTCTCTCTCTCTTTCACCACTTGACAAATAATCATCAAAGGAGATACCCTCAACTCATCAGACTAAACGTTACCACTAATATTTATTGATTCATCACCCTTGGGTGTCTGCGACATACGTGCAAAAGCAGAAGGCTGGCGAAATCGCCTGGTTGACCTGAAACACGGTTGCATCATTAATGAGTAACAGAAATAGTATTGGGGCGAGGACCGATCCCTACGAAACACCCACGTTGATATTGTCGGATGAAACCGCCATCCTGTAATGAATTAATTACTATTTTGTAATTTCTGTATATCCAGTATTGGCATAAAGTTACTGCGGTCTTGTATTTAATGTATATATGAGAAAGATATCAAGCCAAACATATTTGTTATAACAGGAACGGAAAAGAAGTTTGCTCAATACCGAGGACGGGTCTGTTATGACATTACCTAGTATCGTTTCAAAAATATCATAAATCTATCATTATAGTGGCGATCTATGTTCTAATGCACAATGTTACTCGAAAATTCTTCGAAATTTCGGCATCATTAGGTCTGACAGTTATGACTCAGCCCTTTTGCAGATTGCATTTGTTTAACTATCAACTTCCAGGTTGTAGCATTGCAATCTAACCATATTAGACGAAAATACACCTGGTTTGAGATATAATTGCAAAGTCTGGTTTAATTGCTGTAAGTTGTTCAAGGAGGTATTCAAAACGTTTACGCATAAAATGGGTACACCAATTTTTAACAGAAAACTTTTTATTAGACAACAAATAATGAGAAAACGTGTTTTTTGGGATTTAGTCGAAAGTGTTGGCAGGAACGAAAAAACTCTTCATACAAGATTTTTGAGTCTTTATGAGACCTACAAAACGAGATCACACTTAAAAAGATCCGACCAATAGCAGATAAGTTATGACCAAAAACCGAGGCAAACTGCAGGATTTGTCAGTTGTTGGTTTCTCGCAGATATTTGAAATTTTTCAAATTTGTAGGATTCGTACTTCTAAATAACCATAACCAAATTGGAGTAGAGTAGTCAAGTAGTTTTTGAGAATTCTTAATTGTTTATCCTAAAACACCTGTTTTCTGGCCATCACTACTAGTTTATTGAGCAATATACGGGGTTAGTTAGCAGAATACACTAGTTTACCTTTCCGGTATCAGTTGCAAACCATTCCAGAAGATAAATGTTATTTTTATGCAAAAAAGAATGGGTTACTTTTCTGTCTTATAGGGTAAAAGGAGGAGAGATGGACCACATTTTAAAACACTTAGGCGTGCTCCTTTAATAAAAAAACAACAAAACTAAAAAAATATATATAGCATAACTTAACATTGGTATTTCTTTTGGTATAGATAAAAACTAAAAATATCAATCCATAGAGCCAAAAAAATATATAATGAGAGGTATGTCATTGGTCCATCTATCCTACTCTGTGGCGGTGAGATGGACCACTAGGGGAGGAGAGATGGACCATGCTAAGATTTCTTCTTTTTGGTAGCTACAGACTTTCCACACTTATTACAAAGGTTAACGAAGCCAGTACAAGTTTCATGTAACCAACGCTTACAAAAAATACATTGTAACCAGTCATCTTGTTTACATGTTTGGCGATAGTCCTCCTCCAGACGGACGATTCGCTCAGCTTTCTCTTATTTTTTGTTTTTTTTCACAGGTTTTGAGCTCTTCTTTATTTGTGCATCTTTCTTATTTTTAATAAATTCTTCAGATGTAATCTCACCGGATATTTTGTTGCGGTCCCTTTTTACTGCTGCAGATGAAACAGGCACTGGCATTATTTCATCAAGAGCCTTTCCAGTAGTTATAACTTCATCAGGAATTGATGACTTGTTAGAGCTAGCAGGTGAAGCTTTTGGATTTTGAATTCCGGAGGGGCCTGATTGAAGAGATTCTGATCTAACTGACAAATTGTTCATCTGCGATGTTTCTGTTTGAGGCATTTGGATGGGTGTCTCTGTCAAAAAAGCATATTCCGGGATAACTAATGGATTAAATGGATAAATTCCCGTGGATTTAAATCAAGAAGTCGCATTTTGAACAGTTGCTGAGTTTCCCCATGCTCGACCTAACAGCTTACCAAATTGAAGGGGATTTAGGACCCTGTTTGGGTTATTTTGAACCATAAACCGGCATTCAGCGTAGAAGTTGCTTTTAAGAGTTTTAAAATAGGCACCATCGTGAGGCTGTAGATAGTGCGTTGTATGGGCTGGTAAACAAAACAAAATTATTTCTCCCAATTCTAGTAGGTCCAGGTTGGTTGTATGGGACGTGTGGCCATCTAATATCAATAAAGTTTTACCTGGAGGCTTTCTTGGTAGAAAATGGGTTCGTAACCACTCTAAAAAAATGTCGCTGTTAACGTAAGCTGATTTTCCTGACCTTCTAATCTTAGAACCCGGTGGCATACCTTCTAACCAGTCCTCTTTTCCATTTTTTCCTTTGAAAATACAATACGGGGGCAAGAAAATTCCTTCAGCACTACAACATGCTATAACGCTGATTGTTTCGCCTTTTTCCCTAGGGCTTACACTAGGAACGCATTTTGAGCCTTTTTCGGCTAGTACCTGGCCAGCTCTGGTATTCAGCTGTAATCCTGTTTCGTCTGTATCAAATATATGCCCGAGTTTATCATAAAAGTTATGTTCAGTCATAATTCTCTCGAGATCAGAAAATTAATTATCAACGGTTTCTCTGGACATTCCCAAAGCTCGCGCAATTGAGCTGTTTTCCGATTTCCTGATTGAAATTTTAGATCTTCGCTTTAAAAATAGTTCTAACCATTTTTGGCCAGCTTTACCTAAAAAAATCGATAATCAGTAACAACAATGTGTGTTTCATATTTTTGAAATTTACCTTTTTGATTAAATTTATTTGGGATCCCCATTCGCTGAGCTAAATTAAACGCCATGATTTTTACTTCAGTTCTGGTGGGTGCAAAGCCTGCATTTTGCAGTTTCTTGATGTGATTAACAATTTTAAGTTCGGCATTCGAGCCCAAAGAACAATCCGGACCCAATCGATCATGCTTATCAGTGTTGTTTGCTTTTTACCGACGCTTGAAAGTTGTTTTTGGTATCCCAAATGCTTTGGCGGCTTCATTGATGCCCATATCGCCATTCTTCACAGCATCTACTGCATCACTTAAAGCCTTAGGGGACCAAGAACCCCTTTTTGGTGTGCTTTGTTTACGGATGTATTTATTGGGCATAATTCTAAAACAAAATATACCTGTTAACTCTCCTCCTTTTAAGTGGTCCATCTATCCTCAAATAGGAGGGTAGATGGACTAGTCCCTAGCATCTAAAATATGCAGATTAAAGCTACAATTTGCACTGTATAGTATACCTTGTATATATCTAAATAGTGAATCAACAAAAAATCGGATAAACTTACCTGATTTTTATAAAAAAACAGGTTTTCAAAACTATGATAAAATTTTAACACGTGGTAAATTCAATTATCGTAAATAACAGTCGCGTAGGCGCGCGATGATGCCTTCTAGTAGCCGTCTCAGACACAACTGACGTTAGGAAACAACACAGAGTAGGTTAGTCTTGCCTTGTTACCAAACCTTGCCGGATATTTTCGGTGGACCGTCTATCCTCCTGGTCAAAATTCAAACATTCCGTATTTGTGAGTAATTTGCAACAAAAGATGATAGGCGCATCCGCTTTGTTTAAAAAAGTGTATAGCAACGTACGCCTTTCAAATATGATAGCGCATTAATTTGTTCAATTAATCACAAATACGAAATGTTTGAATTTGGTTAGACGATCAAGCGTGACCCTTGTTTTTCGCTTAAAAGTAACATGTAATATTCGTTATGGGTTGTCATTCATATTGGCAAGGAAAACGCGTGTATTTTGCTATGAAATGCTTTCTGAACGAATCCTGTATATAAACAGGTGTTTTGAGATAAACAATTAGGAATTCTCAAAAACTACCTGACCAATATACTCCAATTTTGTTGTTGTTATTTAGAAGCATGAATCCTACGTGTTTGAAGAATTTCATGTAATTGCGTGAAATTATCGTCGCGTTACCAACAAGTTCCAAAAGCTGCATTCTGTCTCGTTTTTCGGCTATAACATTTTTGCTATTAGTCGGATCTTTTTACGTGACTCTCATTTTGTATGTCTCATAAATACCTAAAAATCTTATATCAAAAGTTTTCCCGCAAAATAGGAGAACCCATTTTATGTGTCCATGTTTTAAATACTCCCTTAAACAACATTCACCAATAAAAGCATACTTTACAATTATTTCGGGTAAATTTGCTAATATGATTGGACTAATCAACAAATACGAAAATGTGTTAGGCACAATTGATAGTCCGCATTCAAACTAAAAATAAAATCAAACTACACTACATTTTCCAAGGTGAAGCAACCAAACAACTAGCTAGAGAAGTAGTTACTACGAAACTGGTATGAATACATAAATATCAATGTTCAATTACAAGCGATGGTAGAAAACGCGCCATTTCTAAACTATGTAGATAATATTATTGAAACAATTATCCACGAAATTCATGTTTGTGATGTTAATACCGCTGTAACAGAACTGGCAAGCAGCACAAGTATGGCGCGGAAACTTCGCTAACTAATTGCAAATATTGTTTGTTGCAGTTTGCGTTGTCGTGTTACTCGTATATATTGGCTCTCTAAGGGATTCACCTGCTTCCCATTCCTGAACTCGTAACTAATAACTACGTTGCTGTTAAGTTTACGCCAGACTATAGAGAATCATTGGTTAATGTTATATCAGAGAAGATTGGAAAGCTAACATTTGGTCAATACCTCAGTCTGAGAATAGTGGAGCAACGAGGACAAAAGTATATATGCTAATGACAAGAATTACGCAGATAGAGCATCGTAGAATGTATATGTATCTGCAATTTATCGTCCGCCATGTTCAGAACCCCACGAGTTTTTAAAGAATATCAAAATTTTTTTTCAAAATCAAAATAAAGTTCATTTAAAGCAACATATTTTCTTGGGAGATGTCAATATAAATATTTTGGACGATGATCCCATCACAAATGAATACTTGAATATCCTATCAAGTAACGGATTTCTGTCCTATATAAACCTCCCTACAAGGTCCATCAGTGGCACATGTATAGATCACTGCTTTGTGAAAGACCTATCCAACAAAATTACTTGTATACCAATAATCCTAGAAAGCGATATTACTGACCAATTCTCCACTATTTTACTGATATCTTCATATGAAAAACATTCTAACATCCCTACCGTTAGTAACAACCAGGAAAATTACAAATTTATTGTCGACAATTCAAAACTAATATCAAATGTCAAACAAGAATCCTGGGAACAATTATACTCTATAAATAATATAGACAAAGTAACGGGACTGTTCATAGAGAAAATAAAAAAACTAATAGATATTAGTACCAATAAAGTAATAATTAGTCACAAAGAGAAAAGCAGAAATGCCTGGATTACCAAAGGATTAATAACATCGGCAATAGAAAAAGAAAGACTATATAATGTAATGAAACTAACGCCAACTACAGAGAATACCGACAGCTACAACCAATATAAAAATAAATTTATAGAGCTTGTAAGGCACACCAAACGAAAACATTATCTAAATAAATTGAATAATAACTTAAATGATCCTAAGCGGCTTTGGACAACTATTGATGAGATTACTGGGAAAACAAAAGTTAAAGAGTGTGTCACTGAGTTATATACAACATCGGGAACAGTATTAAAAAATACTCAACAGATATGCGATGAATTTGTACAATTCTTTACTGACATAGGCGAAAATTTAGCAAGTAATATACAAGCAAATGTACAAAATACTCAGCCTCCAAAAAGAACTTTGAACTCATATATTTTGGATAAAGTCGAGCAATGTGAAGTATACACCACTGTTATGTCCTTAAAAAATCGGAAAAGTCCTGGGTTCGATGGCATTAAAAGCGAGCATTTGAAAACTATAGCCGAGGACATAACAGAACCACTCACTTACCTAATCAACAAACGCTTTGAATCTGGCATATATCCCTCAATTCTAAAAAAAGGTAATATAATACCGATACATAAATCAGGAACAAAAACAGATGTTAACAACTATAGACCAATATCAATAATATCCAGTGTAGCAAAGGTTTTTGAAAAAGTTTTATCTACTAGAATGATTCGATACCTCACAAAATTCAAAATTTTAAGTGAAAATCAATATGGATTTACAGAAGGGTACATTGGACGCAATAACTAAAATTGTAAATCAAATACATCAAAATATTGATAACAGAATCCCTTCAATCTGCATTTTTGTTGATTTAAAGAAAGCTTTCGACACAGTTAATCACAAATTATTATTAGAAGCATTGGAGAGAATTGGTTTCAGAGGAAACGCGTACTCACTGATAGAAAGCTATTTGTCAAATCGCCCACAATCTGTGCAGATATCAGGACCATTTAGTAAAGAAATGTATATTAAGTGTGGTGTCCCACAAGGAACTGTCTTAGGTCCGCTGTTATTCAATATATATTTAAATGATATTTTCCAAATTAATTGTGTTGGCAAAATAACTAGTTTTGCAGATGATACTGCAATGTTATATGAAGGCACTGACTGGTCTGATCTGAAAAATGTAATTGAAAATGATTTTATCAAAATTATTCGGTGGTTTAACAGTAGAAAATTAAGTATTAACTACTCAAAAACACATTTTTTACCATTTGGATCTTATGCTAGACATCTGCCAAATTACACAAATTTCTCCTTCAATATTAATGATCAAAAAATGCAAATTAATAGAGTGCCCAACATAAAATACCTTGGAGTGGTCTTGGATCCTCACTTACGATGGGACATCCATGTCAATTATATTTTAAAGAAAGTTAGATTTGTATCCTACAAAATTAAATACCTTGGGAATATATTGACAGAAAAATATCTTCGAACATTATACCATGCACTGATTGAGCCTCATCTCACATATGGTATATAAGCATGGGGAGCTGCATGTTCCTCACATATCTATAATTTAGATGTTTTTCAAAAAAGTATTCTAAAAATGATATTTAAAAAACCGAAACTTTATCCTACTGAAAAATTATACGCAGATGTTCGAATGTATGATATAAGACAGCTTTATTTCTTACACAGTATCACTCACTACCATAAATTTGTAAACACCGATCAAAAAATTAAACAATCATTATACCAGGTACAAAATTCGTGGCACAGTAGTTTCTCAACCGCATAAATCTATAATGCAGCGATCATATCTCTATTTAGCGCCTAAATTTTATGAAATTATACCTAGACTTAAAAGGTTTACGTTTCGGAAATTGTTTCAAAAGAAATTCAAAAAAGTGGCTACATTCTATATCTAGGACTGAAATTCATAAACTCATAAATACGAACATCAACTAAATACATAATCTACTGAAGCTAATTTTTGTCCTTTTTTGTCATTTGCATTCTACAGTTTCAACTTAAATTTATTGGTCGATGTACAGGCGATGCCTTCTATTGGGCCTGTTTGGATTTTATATTTATTTACTATTGTTTCTTATCTTTGTACATTGAGTGAATAAATATTATTATTATTATTGTTATTATTATAAATAGTGACAATGTGATATACAGGACGAGCCGCAAACCTTGGAACAGAGAGCTATAGGGTGTTCCAAAGTTTTAAGTCCTTAGATTGTTATTCTTTCCTTGAACCATAAAGTAGTTAGGATAGGGTTATGTATGAAATATCACATCGGGCAAATCGCTTCCACTCTTTGGTCGAAATGAACTTTCTGAATATTGGTGACTGAATTTTGTTGATGCACCGTGTTATAATGCCGCGATGTCGAGCACCAGTAACAAGTACTGTTCATTTTCAAAAAAGTATGGTGCAGTGATGGCTCTAGCCAAAAATCCGCACCAAACAGTGACACGTTGTGGGTGCATTGGTTTTTCGACAATCACACGAGGGTTCTCCCCC